TACAGTTTGACGGCAGCAGCAGAAATTTTAAAAGTCAAAAAAAGCCCAGATCTATTCGCTCCCATAGTGGATTAACCGAATGTGACGATGATATGTGTTGGTTAAGATAGAATACGTGAATCCAGATCTACTCTACAGCAACCACGGATGTCCATAGATTTGGGTTAATCGTCTTTGTATGCTTCAACATATGCGCAATCGTATCCATTGTCCTTATGCGCTTCACCATATGCGCAAATTCATGGGCAGTTGTATTAACTTAATGTCCAGCCGACCATGTCCACCACCTATTTTCCATATATTTGGGTTCAACTAGTTTTCTTAGATATTTAATTTGGAAATATTAATAATGTGGACATAATTGTAACTCGTTTATCCATGGAACCTTGTCTATGAACTCAAGTCCATGAGATGTAGAAGGTTGTCCATGAACTCTAAATAAATTGTGGGAACTATTAATTTTGTTAAGTGTCTGCAAACGAAACTTATCGAACTTGTTGGAGAAAGAGTCTGTTTTTTTAGAGTTATGGATAAATGATGTGATAAATTTATGTTGTCAATGTAGTTATATCCATGTAAATATGTACATAAATTAGGGACGGAATTGAAGTTAATTTCATCTCGAGCCATGCATCAAAACAACATCCCTGTAATGGGATATATGGATGACGTGATGCTTTCCAACCTAGGAAAGGAAAGAAGCGCCAGTTCATGAAAAACAAAGAGAACAGTGCAGTGACACTTTCCACGCGGCGAGTGAACGAAAACCCCCTACGTGGCCTGCACCCACCAATAAATTGTGGGAACTATTAATTTTGTTCAGTGTTTGTAAATGAAACTTATCGAACTTATTGGAGAAAGAGTCTGTCTTTTGAAAGTTATAGATTAATGATGTGATAAATTTATGTTGTCCATGTAGTTATATCCATGTAAATATATACATAAACTAGGGACGAATTTGCAATTAACTTTGTCTCGAGTCATGCATCAAAGCAACATGTCTTTCATGGTATGGATGACGTGATGCTTCCCAACCTAGGGAAGGAAAGAAGCATCAGTTCGCGAGAAGCAAGGAGAATAGTGCAATGCAACTTTCCACGCGGCGAGTGAACGAAAATCCTCCACGTGGCCTACACCCACCAATGAAAGAAGATCACACGACCAGGAAAATCATGACTCCTGGAGCACAGGCATGTAATCACCCCCAACAACAGCATGTTGTGACGCAGCGGTATGAGTTCTGGAAATTTACAGGAAACTGGTATTTTTCACGACGGCCCTCACCTACGGGAGCAAGCTGTGTGGATCCGTCGATTATTGTATATTTGCGTGCGCACATTCTTTAATCGTCTCAATAAGGCGCATGCATTCACCTGTTTTCTTACTTGGTAATTGCTTGATTCTTTATCTAAATGACTTCTTGCTTGATTTTCTGATTGAGTGACTTCATGCTTGAATGATTTTCCGATTATGTGATTCATTCCCTACTCGATTCTCTGTTTGTGTGCTTATCTAATAACCTCTCTTATTTATTTACCGCACCTCCGTTTCCATCGATCTATCATCGTTTGCAATTGCATTATCTTACCTTATGTGAGCATCAGGCTTGTGATCCAAATTTCCATCAAAACTCCTTATCCGAATTTCAGACAGCATATTCTTCCATGGACTTGCTTGCCTTTCGGGAGCTCCATTCCTCTAGGAATTCAGGACTTCGGTCCTGCAGACCTGCGGATCTTTTTTTGCCAACTCTCATCGAGGACCACGCAATCTTTGAGCATGCTCTCATGTGGACTTACTTGCTTTATGAGGCGCTATACCTCCGGTAAATCGAGATTATTATTGACCACTAAATTATTAATTAAATTATTAATAACTTTTTTAAAATAGATTTTTTAGCTGATGTGTTCTTAGAAGAATGTTGATGTGTCGCTCACTTGTGATTGATAATCAATAATTATATAATAGATATTTATATTATTATTATATTTATTTATTTCTTATTTTGTATTGTTATATTATTTTTCTTATTTTTAAAATTAAAAATAATACTCTTATTTTTTATTATGCTAAAATATATGAGATTATTTTTAAATTGTTTTTCTAATAAAAATTGTGATATTTTACTTGTTAAGAAACTTGTTCATATATTTATATATTGTTATAAGTATTTATGGCTTTTTATTATATATAGTTAGCTTTTATTTTATTATTTAACTTATTTTTATTGAAATTAATAAAGTTATATCATCACCATTCTTACTTACTTTTTTCTTTCTTATTCGGAATTGTGCTCTAAATTTATATTCTAGGTAATTTTCAAAGTGATTTGTAAATCTATTTGTTTTACTTTATAATTTCATATTTTTATATTACTATTATGTGTTTTTTATTTTTAAATATGTTTTTATTTTTTGTTATTTTAAGGTATTTACATCTATTTTGAAGTTATTTTTTAATAGAAATTATAATATATTAATTGTTAAAAAATCATTCTTATATTATATATGTTATCGTATATATCTATATCTTTTTACTCAATATCTTTATTTAATTATTATTTTTGCATCATTTTTTCTATCAAGATCAACCATATAAATGGATCATCAATCCCATCAACTCTTTTTATTTCTTACTCTAAATCATATTTTTATTCTATTATGTTTACTTCTTAATATTTATTGATTCTTTTTAGTTTTAAATGTTATTTTAATTCTTTGATTCTTATCCTAAAAATATGTTGAACTTTTCTAAAGTTATTTTTTAAACATAAATTGTGATATCTATATATATATTATTAAAAAGAATTCGCTCTTATATTTATACATTATCGTGTATATCTATATTTTTTACTAAATATATTTATTCATTCGGATTGTTTTTTTAATGTTGCTTATTTTTAGTAAGATCAATATAATAATAATATAATAATCAATTCCACACATTTTCTTTATTTTTTATTTGAAAAAACATTTTAAATTTTTTATTTTGTTGATAATTTATACTTTTGTGGTTTGTAGACTAATTGAAAATTTTTTAATTATAAATTATGTCATGTAAATGTCCAAAAAATATGTATATAAAAATCTATTTAAAAAAATTAGATAATCTATAGTTTTATGTAGTTTATAAAATATCTATATACTAAATATATAAAAATTCATGGAAAATAAAATTTGAAAACCAATAATAAAATAAAAAAATTACTGATGTAGATAATTTCATTGGAAAAAATTTGGGTAATTATATATATGATCTATTTTTCGTGAACCATTTATTTGTAACATCAACCTCTTTTTGCATCAATTACCTTTTTATTATTTATTGCATATGTATACATTTTGCATGTATAATTTATAAAATGCATTCTCCTAATATACAAACACTATTACTGAATTTTCATATGCATTTTTTTCTGAAACAGAAATTTTCAATTTTAGAATTTGATGGGAAATACATTACCTCATAAATACATTATTGCAATGTAAGTTGTTTTTTTCGCTGTTATAGCTTGTAGTAAGAAAGAGGATAACCGGTAATAAAATATATGATATAAAATTATGCATAAAAGTAAAAGTAATATGAGAATAATCCAGTGCAATGCACTTGACCTGTAAACCAAAACATGGCGGGAAAAGACTTTTCAACAAATACTACCAAAACTTTGAGACCCATAAGAACATCTGTATTACTTAGATATTCTTTGAGCCTTTCATCCAATAAAATATCAATATTTAATTTAGATTTAAAAACAATTGAGCCAATTATAAAAAAAGTATGTGATTCAAAAGTATCTCATAAGTCTATTATAGTCTGTTATTTGAGAATTTCATTTTATTTTTCTCCTCTTTTTATTATTATTATGTTTTTTTAATGATAAGAAACTCATTAAGAAACTTTCAATACAGATGATGTAAAAGCATTTTCATTGGTGATTTTTGCACTATAAACCTAACATTAAAAATATTTTTAAAAAATATAATAGAGAAAAACAGAACCGTTTCTCGTTTAAGTTGTTGTAGCAAAGTCATAAAAAACATTTTTCACACATGTTTATTAATAATTAAATGATTCTTTTTATACTTTTAATTTTAATTTTATAAATAAATTATATTAATATTTAATGTATTAGATATATTCAAGCGATGTGGGTGCTCTAAGTGACAACTGATCTTTAAGTCTCTCGTTAAACTGCCCACAGTTTTCTTCTTTTCTTCTTTTCTTCTTTGTCTTGTAGCATTTTTATATTACACTCCACCATATCTTTAATTTTATTTTATTGCCAATTTGCCATCTCCCTAGTCTATATAAATGCATAAACATAAGTGTGTAATAAGCAAAATAAGAAGGAATATTATTTAAAAGCAGACAAATTAGAATTAAAAAAATGTTAAGATTTTTATTGTTTCAATATGTTATTCACTTTATCAGATATGCAGCATTTAGCGAGAGACTTAAAGATTAGTTGCCACTTATATTATATGACTTAGAGCACCCACATCGCTTGAAATGCTGCATATCTGATACATTAAATATTAAAAATCTTATTCAGATATGACAATTTTGTTTTTAATTTATTTTGTATGATTTTAAAATATTTTATTATATATTTGGGTATACGTTGATACTAAAATCGTTTCACTAAACTAACGGAATATCACCACTCGTAAATTTATATATACGTATGAAAGTAAATAATATAAAGAGATGCAATGTGTTTGACCCACAAATCAATACATGCATGGCGATGGAAGACTTTTCAGCGAATAGTACTACCAAAACTTGGAGACTCATAAGTGACACAACTAAAGTCTTCGATGGCCATAAGCTTTAAGTCGCTCGCTAGACTGTCCACAGATTTCTTCATCTTCATTGTCTTTTAGCCTTCCTATGTTATCCACCATATCTTTAAATTTCTTTCATTGCCATCTCCCTAGCCTATATAAATGCATAAGCATGAGTGACACTAACAAGCAAAGTAAGAAGGAATATTAATTAAGATGACATCTTCTATGGTCTCTTCCATGGTTCTCTTTCTCCTTCTTCTTCTTGTGTTTCCGCACATCGATAAAGCCCTTGGCGCACAAGAGGAAACCCAGAAACAAAGTGAGTCTTTTCGTCTTTTAGATGATCGGAGGTCATTAGTATCAATTTACGTTATCAGCTAGGTTTCTATTACTTAGTTGTGTTTAATCCTGATTTTGGTTTTTGAGTTTAGAAATTTATCCGCATTCAAATAGCATTAAAATCATCAAACCTTGACACTGTAATATAATGTCATGCTTTTTTATGGTGGTGCAGGTGCAGAAGAGACTTATCATCCTGATCAAAGGGGGGGGATTGGTGGTTTATTTAGAAAATTTCATGGGAAATGTCCAAAAAAAATTCCCGCCTGTAAGGGAAATATCAATTTACCTTCTCCTCCGCCCAAACTTTTGTAGAGTTAAATCTCCTCCAAGGCCCCACAGGTCTTTCAAAGGCACATTCGAACCTGATCATTGACCTCACTCTAGCTTCGAATGCGTCTATGCATATATATGTGTGTGTGCATGTTTCTTACGTTGTGGTTTTGTTTGTGGTTTATGTCCTTCTTTATCTATATGTATGCATGTGTTTGTAATATTTTACAGTTTTATCGAACTATAATAATAAATAAAACTTGTACTTCCTTGTGTTCAAGACCGCCTCTTTACTTACATTGATTCGTTCAAACATTTCTCAACCTTTAAGTACTTACTTGTGTTCAAGACCGCCTCAACACTTGGCACTAGATTTACTTACACATGTTTATAGATTTTAAAATATGTTATTATAAACATGTGTTCTAAAATTGCCACCCCTGACCGACTAATCGTAGATAACCATATAAGTTACAAAAATATGTACGAAATTAAATGAAGAGAATCCAGTGCAATCCACTTGACCCATAATCCAAAACATGCATAGTGATGGAAGACTTTTCAGCTAATAGTACCAAATTTCAGCGAATAGTACTACCAAAACTTCGAGACTCGCATGATTAATGCAGAATTTTTGGGAAGTTCTAAAAAAAAGAACAAAAAATAATGACGTGGCGAGTAGAGTCGACTTTCTGTGCATAGATTGTAGAAGCAGCTTTTCGGTGACATGGCAAGATATGATTTGTCGATTTTTATTTTTTTTTAAATCGTTTTTTTTTAGAAAAAATCAATATTTTTTTAATAATATAAAATTTTTACTAGCTTTTTTCTCAGCTCTCTAATACTAATAATACTCTAAAACTACTTGTATTGGTAATCTCTCACCAAATCTTTGAAAATAAAAAATTAATAAATTTAAAAAAGAAAACAGAGAGAATGGAGAGAGTCTGTAGCATACGTATCCGAAAAAATGTGGAATGATCGTACCGGACAGGGCATTGTCCGAGGAATGACCGAGCCAAGGATCAGATATTGGCTGGGAAATAGAGGTTCGGACTATGGTCGGGTGTTGACCGAGGAAATAGTCGGATGTGGACTGGATAGCCGGGCCGAATGGACCATATCCGAGGGAAAACATGGTCCAGTCCGAGGAAAATGGGATTTATTCGAGTGCAGTGGGATATATCCGAGAGTCTGGGAGGTTAGTCCGAGTGTTAGTGGACTGTCTCCGAGGGGGAATAGGAAACCTCCGAGAGAAATAGAGGATTAGCCGAGGTGGGACAAGCTGTCCGAGGGAAATAGGAATGTCCGGGTGAAAAATGGAAAACACCTCGGATAAGGGCGGTTTATCCGAGTGGGAAGGGATTTGGGCCGTGGGCCAAGTGTTTGGTCGGCTATTTTGGGGTTTATCGAAGGAATGGTTGAGCCGGTACAGGGAATAGAGAATCGAATCGGACCGGGATAAAACTTACTAGAACCGGGAAAACGTCGGATAAGTCCGGGTTACCTAGGGTTTTGCGAGTATTTAAGGGATTTTGAGACTTTTCTCGAGAGAGTTGTGTTTATTCGAGAGCAATAAAGCAAAGAAAGAGAATAGTCGAGAGAAAACCCTAAGAAAAACAGTTTATCCCGAGGACATCCGAGAGAGATCAGGTTATCGCCGAGCAGATCTGACCATCGCCGAGATAAACTGGTAAGCGATCAGATATTTTCCTAAGTGTTGAGTTTTCATCGGATAACCTCGAGCTAATAGCCTTGTTTTGTGGGGTTTCTGAGGGAAAATAGAGTTTGGCTCGAAGAAAGGTGAACGGATCAAGAGATAACCGAGGGGTTAAGGATCGGATCGTACCGTGAGCCGAGAGATTCTTAGGGAGATCGGATATCTTCGTTTTGGTACGGTTTTCGTCAGGATTTCTTCTGACCAATCTGTTTCTAGCCTTGTCTAAGGTGAGTGTGTGACTGTGGTTGGGTCTAGGACCGTAGGATTGCTAGGGTTGAATGTTTGCATGTTAATTGTGTGATTTTCATGTTATGTGTTTAGAACTGATAAGAAATCCTTGTGTTGTGATATATTGTGGTGTTTACCGTGGCATATATGATGTTTAGCTAACCTCAGGGTAATCCGGATCATGTACTAGCTTACGGGATGTGGGATTCTCGCTGAAGTAGACATGGGTCTTAAAAAGGGATTGATCTTGGTTGGTTAGGCTAGATGATCATGGTCGTTGATATTGTTATGTCTATTGCGAATTGATTGTGTTGAATGTTGAATCCGAAAGTATGACTGCGTGTTTGGTACCGACCAGGTGTTACGGGATGACCGTACTCACTAAGTATTTATGAAATACTTATGCCTCTCATTTTGAGTGTGCATGTACTAAGCAGTAAAGGGGCGAGACCAGGCGGCAGTGATGGATATGGATGGATCGGGACTTAGTTTTATTTGTGTTAAGACTTGTGTTTAGAGTCTTATGGCTTTGGTGTTTGATCGTTAGGTTGCTAGTTGAGCAGTTGTAATCTTTAGCGAACCTTGTGCATTTATTTATGTGGAACCCCGAATCCTGTTTAAGTGCTTTTGAAAGTTGAATAAATGAATGAGTTGCTTTATATTCCGCTGTGTAATGATAAGAAAGACTTAGAAAAATAATGAAGAAAAAGTTCGAAAATATGGCTAAGTATAGAAACAGACTTAGTGGATGTAGTGGGACACAGCCGCGGTACGGTTTACCGGGTTGGGTTACCACAAGTTGGTATCAGAGCGTTTTAATGCTTCTAGGACTGAAATTGGTGACTGCTGTTGTTTGTTTGTTTGTTTGGGGTTTATGGGGGTCCGATCCATTCTTCACTGCCAAGGTCTCGCGGTAAGTTGTTGTGTGGTGTTGTGAAACACATTTTGAGTTAGCTTCGGCTAACTGGCATTGTGTACTTGCAGATGGTTGATACCAGAAGAACAGTGAGAAACAATGGGGACAACCAGGCTACGGGGTCTGTGAACTCAGTCAACGGTGATGTTGCTGAGAGGGCTAGGGAAGCCGAGAGACAGGCAGCTGCGGTTGCAAATGAGGCGGCTAGAGTGGCAGCCGTGAGAGCAGCAAAAAATGCTGCGGATGCTGAGAACGTGGGTAGGAATGCTGCGGATGCAGCTGGGATTGCTGCGAATGTGGCACTAGTGGGGTTAGAGGCTGTGCTTGGGATGTTAGCCCAGGTACTAGCTAGGCTACCTGCGGTGGCTCCTGCTCCGGCGGTTGCAGCAGCACCACAAGTAGTACCACCGGTGGGGGTTCACGCGGATGTGATTGGGGAGGAAGCGGACCAAGTGGAGAGGGTTCCGAGTTACCTCAAGGTTTTGGATCACATGGTGCGGTTGGGAACCAAGTTCTTTGCTGGAGGTTCTACACCGATTGAGTCAGATGAGGGGAGGATGAGACTGGAACGGAATTTTGAGTCTATCCGATGTCCAGAGGGTTACAAGAGAGACATTGCCGTGCACTACTTGGAGGGTGATGCACACACGTGGTGGAAAGGAATCGTTGGATGGCTGGTGAACACGTATTGTTCTTATGAGACATTTTCAGCGATGTTCAGGAGTAAGTACTTCCCACAGGAAGCTTACAACGAGTTAGAGAAGGCGTTTATGTACCTTAGTCAGGGGACGCTTACAGTGAGGCAGTATGAGACTCAGTTTAATCAGCTGAGGAAGTATGTGTCTCATGAGTTTGACACGGAGGAGAAGCTGATTCGCAGGTTTATGAGTGGACTGCGAGTTGAGCTTTGGAATGGGTGTGTGGTTCGTGACTTCAAGACAGTTGCTGAGCTTGTTGAGAAGGCGGCATTGTTGGAGTCAGGACAGGCGGAGGCTGCGTTGATGTCAGCTGGGGCTAGTACAGCCGTGACTAAGACGAGTCAGTCTAGTGGACAGAACCGGAAGTTTGGGAAAGGAGTACCGAACAAAGGATCTGGGGGACGCAGCGTGTGCAGCAAGTGTGGCAAGGCTCACGTTGGCGAGTGTAGGTGCGGTGGTAGGGGATGCCACAGGTGCGGGAGTTTAGAGCATCAGGTGCGAGACTATCCGGAGGAGGATCAGCGAGTGGTCCGTGTGTCCGGCAGTGATGGTGCGGTTCGGGTTTGCTACGGTTGTGGAGAACAAGGGCATTTCAAGCATGAGTGTCCTAAGGCAGGAGTGGTGGAGCAGACCGTGGCTCAAGGGAAGAGAGCAGGGGAGGCGCTTGCATCACAGGCCAAGAGACAGGCCATTATGCCGAGGGTGTACACGACGAGTGCAGCAGCAGCCGAGGAACCGAGCACTTCTCATCCGATTACTGGTACGTGTGGTACTTAGTATTTTCTAAACTTGCCTTTGTGTGTTGTTGTGTGTTAGTATAGAGTCTTAGCATTTTAGGGAATGAATGTGTAGGGACCTTGCTAATGGGTGAGGTTGAAACCCATGTTCTGTTTGACTCGGGAGCGAGTCATTGTTTTGTTAATCCGGACATGATCGGAAAGGGTCAGTTCCAGAAGGAACCCGGAGAGGACTTTGGGTTAGTTCAGGCGGCTGGAGGCCAAGTGATGTTTTCACTAGGAACGGTCAAGAATGTTCCAGTGATGTTTGGCGAAGTGAACATGCCAGCGGATCTAGTGATCTGTAGGGTTAAGTCCTACGATGTCATTTTGGGAATGGACTGGTTAGGCAAGCACAGAGCTCACTTGGATTGTCACCGTGGAAGGGTGCGGTTTGAGAGAGACGGAGAGGTCTTGGTTTATCAGGGAGTTAGACCAACCTCAGGAAGTTTGGTGGTTTCAGCTATTCAGGCAGAACGGCTGATAGAGAAAGGTTGTGAGGCGTATCTAGCAACGATCACTACTACAGAAGGAGGACCGGATGTAGACTTAGGCAGTATACCGGTGGTGCAGGAATTTGAGGATGTTTTCCAGGCGGTGGCAGGACTGCCACCAGCTCGTTCAGATCCATTTACGATTAAACTTAAGCCGGGGACAGCTCCATTGTCCAAAGCACCATACCGGATGGCGCCAGCGGAGATGGCTGAACTGAAGAAGCAGCTAACGGAGTTATTGGACAAAGGCTTCATTAGACCTAGTAGTTCA